CCGCTCTAATTAAAGTGCCCTGCTCCCCCTCCCCCGCCAAGCCCGTATAAAAAATTCCAAAGCCTTAAAAAAAAAAAAAAGTCAGTCCCACTCAAATAACTTAATTGTTGATCTTGAACAGAAGTTGATGTCACGTGAACCATATTTCTAGATCACTGCTAGTAGCTGGTAAGCTTGTAAAATAGAAAATAATTATGAAAGCCTTTAATTCATAAATATTTGTAAAACCATTTCTAAGTAGGGCTCCAAGGCAGTTCTAGAACCTAAGCACACTTGTGATACATAACATGTAAAGAGGCCAGAAATCAAAATATTGTACAGAAAGGAAGGTGGGGAAAACCACGGGAAACAGAGTCCTTTTGTCTCAGCCTCATCTGCAGCTCTGAGGATTCTGGATCCTCCACAGCAGCTTACACAAGGTTGACAGACATGCTCTGAAACCTCTTCAGCCTATTAGCAGCAGCCACGACATAGAAATGTTTCTGTAAGCAAAACAGAAAAAAAACGAGGTATGAGCATAACTGAGCTACTGGCAACTTGGAGGGTGAAACTGACCCCAGTTTTCCTAGCTTCCAGACCTCTGTACCAAATATTTCTGTAAATACTAGAAAGATTAATTTAAGATGGGAAATGTAACTGTATCGACTAAGAGGCAGCAAAGTAGAACACTAGTTTATGAAAATCTCAGGATATATCCTCAGTGAAAACAGAGAGAATGATAATCCACAGTAAAACTCCCCTCTTGTACTGTTAGTGTTCAGCCACCCTTGAAAAGTCAATTAACTCAAAGTACACTCCCATTCTTCTGCAGTGCCTATGAAAAGAGTTACATTGACCATAACACTGACCTTGCTCCCTCACAGGGATATTAGGTAAATAAATCCCCCAAAGAAAAGTCATAATGAATCAAACAAAAAGGTCCCTCATCACCCTGTCTGGACAATAGCCACTCTGTTACCTACATAGAGACACTAATTGCAGCAATTTGGGCATTCAAGGTGTCAGCATGATCAAAGGAAAAGCAGCTGCTTGTAATTAGCATCATTTTAAGGATGTTAGAAGATGACACTTGAATCATTCCCATTGGGAGTCATGAAATGCTTTGTACTAGAGACACGCTTGTGGCTGCAGAACAGAGAGGTTATACTGTGAACAAAAGGCTGCTTGCATCTCAGTTAGCAAATGTGTAACAGTATACCTTCAGAGGATGATGCTTTTTATAAATGCGAGTGCAAAGGTCTTAACTCAAGGGACAACAAATTTGAGAGTCTAAAAAAGCAAATAAGGTTTTATCTTCAGGTCACTATCATTAGCAAGATCTTGCTGTTCTCAGTAGCAAGTCAAAAATGGAACAGATCTCATTAGGTCTCCTTCAACTTCCCACAAATTAAAAATGCCATGGTTGGTGTGTTAGCCCTCTCTGAAGAGGGTTTTTTCATTCTAACATTTGCTATACAATGAAGACGGGATAATAGAACTGAATCAGCTGCAACCCTGGTTTTGTGTAGAAGGTGTCCAAAGTTTCTGAACCCTGGAATTCTACACTGATTTCTGGGACACCAATCAAAAATAAGAGCAAAAAATTTGGACTAACATATCAAATATGAAAACTGTGGTTTAAAAGGGGAGTGAACAGTCAAATCTACAACTGCAAACAGAATTCCTAAGGTTGCACATACAAGAAAATCCCCATTTTTAAAAGAAAACAATTACACAGTGAATAAAGAATAAGGCTCCACCTGCCCTGGGCAATCATATTTTTTGGTGGAAGTGCAGTTACCAGGATTTGTCTCTTTACCTTCCATTTTCTCTGTGCCAGGTAACTCTGTAACAGCAACTGGGACTTGAGGCGGAGCTTGGATTTCTTGGCTTTGCCAGGCAGGTCATTTAACCACTCATGTTTCAGACATTGTGTTGCACTGATCCTGCAGCTGTGGAAAACACAGATTGCAAATGGCCTCAATGTAAAACACACTGTTACCCCTGCTGTCCTTTGCACAGTGTTCCTTGGTCCAGTTGCAGCAGAAAGGCTCAGCGATTTTTCACTGACACTGATGTGACAAACACACACAAAAATACCATTCACCTTGGTGCAGAGGTCCTGCACAGAGAGCAGCCCTGCAGTCCTACCCTCTATGTGGTGCTCGGAGTCCTATGGGAGCCTTTTACATTGACATGAACCCTTCCCCTCTCCCCTTATTCCTGAGCACTGTTTAGGTTGGTTGCTGTGTTATTTAGAGCAGCTGCGGTTTCATCAGCGTGTGTGTGATTTTTGGAATAAGAATGGCAGGACACATGGAGTTTGTGGGGGACTGTGCCAAGAGAATCAAAGAACACAGGGATACATAGAGATAGTAGTTAACACTGGTATCTAGCCCATCTCCCTGGCAATACAAGATTGTTCCCTGCTGTATATTTAGACAGACACACAGATGCCTACTCAACTAACAGGAAAGACAGCATCCATATGGAAACCTAGATCAAAAGTATGGGATAAGGATTCCTCCCTTAACCAGCTAGAAAGGCCCTATTCAACCACATTCTGCGTTGTTGGCTTCAGCAGACAAGAAGGACAATTTAAAGCAGGGATGTTAAACTCCCTTGGTTCCCCAGCCTGGAATCAGACCATGAGACCCCTCACAGGCCAGATCTGAGCTCTCCTCTGACAGTGGGACTAGCAGTAGCAGGGAGCCATAGGGATCAATGCAGCTATCGCTCACTCCTTCAACAAGAACATGTCCTCTGTGGGGCTTCACACACTGGAAGTCAGACAGGCCTCACAACACTCACCCTGCCCCCGAATTCCTGGGCCTTGGAGTCCCATAGACTGAATGAAATGGCTCTGTGGGTGAGATATGTCTACCAAGCTACATCTTTGACACCCCTAGTCTAGAGGATACTTATAGTTTCTGTTTCAAATGTAAATAGCTGCACACCACTTGTGTTGGGGTTGACCACTTTAGAGATCTGACAATCAGCAAGATGATTCTCACTTGCAATATAAAGAGCAATTTTATCAACTGACTTGCAGGCATGCAGTAGGCCATTTCCATCAGGCTCTGTCACTTTATCCATCCCATTCATGAGTCATGGTTTTATAGGTCTCCGAGCCTTCATTCACCGCATTGAATCAAATTCTGTGCTGCAATATGATACGTATACTTTCCTTTAGTTTCAGTGGGGGTTGAGAGAGATAATCCAAGCACAGAAAAAGGTCCCAAATGCTTCTTCAAGTCCATCTAGGGCACTTTTCTGAAGAGTAATACAGTTTTTAGAACTGCATAACTCATATATCTTGATTTCTTGTTTCTTAAAATATAAGACCATATTTTTCCAATTTTTGTGCATGTAGACAAGCCAAACTGACAGAAGAACTACCTCCTGGTCATATGAGAAAGGCTCCAATAAACACCAGTGATCACATCTACCCTCAATTCTACCCCTGTTGCAACCAATGCAGTAGCTATGACAGGTTTTACCTAGAGCAAGATTAATTGTATTCTTCTTTCAGAAAAAGTCTGGGTCACCACTACATTGCCTAGTAGACTGAACATGGCAAAAGAAATGTCATGCAACTAACTTCTGGCCATGACAGATACATTTAGCCAGGAAGAACCTATTATAAGTAGTAAAGCTATTACAACAAACTGAGGAGGAGGTACCTCTTCTCCTTCACAAGGAGTTTGGCAATGAAGTCTTTTGCTTCTTCTGATACTTGTTCAAAAGCTTCTGCATCAAAATCCCAACTGCAGTTCACTATGTAATTCATTGTCTCTGCATCAGTTTCTCCTAGGAATGGAGATAAGCCACTAAGTCTAAAAAAAATAAAAACAGAGAGTGAGGAAAATGGGCAGGAAGTACATGTGGAATGTGTATTTCTCCTTTGTGTCCTCACTATGCTTCTCTCCTTTGGAATGACATTAGCAGAAACACAGAAATGACTATTTCAGCTAGAAAGTGTGCTGAGGAGCAGTGCAACACCTACTGTAGTAGGTTCATGGCTTAGCTCCTAGTTGCTTGGACTAACAGGGATGTGAACACACTGGAGCAATAAAGCTAAGTAATGCTTCTCATCGCTCTCTAGCAACCCACTCAGGCAACTCAGCGATCAAGATTAATGACCTCGCAAGAAACTGAACTCCTGGAGGATGTAAGCAGGTACTTAACTGCTTTGCCAACTAGGAATGCTAGTATCCAGGAAAGCTAGAACTAGGAATGCTAGAATTCATCAACCCAAAACTACACATATGCTTGTGAGCTGCACTGTTTCAAGGTCTATGTCCAGTCTGAGTTTGAATTCGAAACAGTCCTGTCCAAGATTTTTTTCAGTTTGTTTCTGAGCCCAGGTGTCTTTATGCAATAGTTTAGCACTGAATTCCATATTTTTTACTTCACCATAAACTTAAAATAAGTTACCCTGTCCATGGAAAACAGCTAAGGAAAAAAAGAGTCATGTCAGTGCCTCTAGAGTTAGACAGCTTGTGTAGATGAGCCAAGTTTAAACCCATGGAAGAATTTTAACCCCACAAAGTTAATTTAAAACAGGCTCATTGAGTAATTCTACTCAAGGCAGCAGTAATTCTCCCCTCCCCACAAGCAGGTGCATCTTGGGTCCAAACAGCATTGATGGATCTGGCTCCCAAGGGTCCAGATTTAAAACATGATAAATCCCATAGTTCAGTAACTGATTGAAATCAAAGTTGGATTATGTTTGGTGCAACCAATCCCTTGGTCTGAGTAAACCAAATCTGATCGGATTTGTTTTCATTGACTAAATAGGCAGGAAGAAGGCTAGAGAAAAGGGGATGTTTAAATATTTAGAATGAAGATTCTTTCTTTCAGGTTCTTAAAGCCCAATGGCAAGTGATAGTCCCTTGCACTGGCTCTCTCTCTTGTGTAATGAAGCGAGTATAGCAAGAAAAATTCACTCCCTCAATGGGCTCTCATAGTTTGCCGAATTCCAGCATGGCAAATACCTTCCATGGGCCTCTCTTACACAGCATATAAATGACATGACCATAACCCCACAAGGGCTTACTCACAGTATGTATGTGATGACGCCTACACTCCACATGTCTGTTGGGAACGAAACGAAGTCATAGTTCACTACTTCAGGAGCCAAGAATTCTGGAGTGCCAAAATTGACTTTCAGCTTCTCACGAGGTTTGTACCTTCACAGAAACAAAAAGGGACATCAGCACCAACAGCAGACTGTAATTACACTACACGTTTGCAAAAAAACTGTCCTCTTGCAGCAACACCACCATCAGGTATATTCTAGACCCACAGCTCTAGTGATACAAATAACTTCTGAGCACAGAATAAATGCCAAGATGGAACCCTGAGGAAGGGTTGCTATCAGCATTGCTAACCAATGATGTGGCAGGTTAATGTACCAATTCAGTGGTACTTGACCTTTCGCTGGCACCAACTAGATGTGGCTCAGGGCCAGTCCACAAGATGGATCAGACCCTGTGAGCCAGGATCAGGCTCCACACCACCTCCCAAAGCCCTGCACTGCCTCCCTCAGCCCCGCACCACCTCCCATAGCTCTGCACTACCTCATGGGGCCCTGAGCTGCAGGATTGGGGCCCACATGGTCCCCATCCAGCTCTGTGTGTTCAGATTGGGCTACCTCTGCATGCATATCCAGGGTGCTATCTGGCCTGTTGGGCTCCCCACAGGACTGTAAGTTTGGCAGCAGGAGAGCAGCAACTGCTGCCACTGCTCCCCCCACCACCAAATGTTCACTTCTGTGAGGACTCCTGCTTCCAATTATGCTTTAACAAATCTATTTGTCCTGGCCACCCCTTTCCCTGAAACACTAATTTTGCTCAAGTCTATTTATTTCTACCCATACTCCTGGTTGACACCTCTGTACTATACCATGATCCAGAGAAGCTATCCTGAGCTGGTGCAGTAGGTGCTATTATAGTGGCTCACCACCAGGTGGTGGCGGAACAAGACTTTGCAAATGATTACCCCAAAATAAACCATGCAGCAACCGGTATGCTGATATAAAATTACCCATCAGTGGAGGTTTACCCCCGATTCCTTCAGGGATATTTCTATAATGGACTGGGTGGAATTACCCAGTGTAGCAGTTATTAATCATCTGCCTACTATTAGTTTTTACATCAGAGTACATGCATGTCATTGTCTAGGCTCTAAACATTTATAGAGGATAATGCCTGCTCTTTGTTCTCATTTAGCCAAATTATGCATATGAATCATTTTGCCCGTCTTTAAGTCAGTCCCATCTAACCCCCTGTTTTTTCTGTTGTACCACTCTGTCTCCATCAATTAGGCAATATCTTTTTGGTAATGTAGCGTCTAGAAGTAAAAGCATTATTCCAGGTGCAGTCACCTCAGTGCCTTAGAAAGGTTATTATTATCCCCTGCTCTGTGATGCATTGCATTTACTTATACAGACCAAATAATACTGCCACATTTACAGCCATATTAAACTGCAGACTTGTGACTAATTCACTTTATATTCTCACCCCTTAGCCATAACCATAATGAGCAGGCTTTATGTAAGGTGACAGGTAGAGCCTTTAAGGGAAAGCTGAGCCATGCGATTCCTATTTCACAAAGACTCTTTGGAGTAAGTGCTTTGCACAGGGTATTATTTGAGTTAACTAAAATACTAATGTAATTTTAGGCCCCCAAAAGTGTCATTTGAAAGGATAACTTGATTGTTATTGCACAATGCTTCATATTCCTTCATGCCTGAAGGAGCGTATTGCATCACTCAGTCACATTTCAAAATCATTTTAACATCACAGTGTACAACCAAATCTTGTAACAAAAAAATAAATAAAGTCATTGGTTTTTCATTAGTTCATAAATGAGCTGCCTTACCTCCTAGCTAAACCGAAGTCAATAATTTTAATCTGGTTTCCAGTGCGATTTACACACAATATGTTTTCAGGCTACAAACGGAGAACAGTATTATTTTAGTTAAATAAATGACAGTGGAATTATGAAACACATTATTACAATAAGAGTTGCCAGAAACATGACCTGAAGTGCAAAGATAAAGAACAAATTAAGGGGAAAGATTTTGAAAGTAATTCTATTCAGGTTCTTTGCTGATTCGCAAGAACAAATTTATCCATCATGCAAGTCAATCTCACCCTATAGCAGTTTAGAACAAAGGTGTCATTTGCCATTCACTGCCTAGGGCTCTCATCTATCCCTGTACCACAGGCAAAATTCTGTTATATAGATATAAAGGAGCATTTGATGAAAAAATAATCAAAGGCAAAATATGGCCTGAGGTTTAAGAAAATAACTGTGCAGAGACTTAAGATGTGGTTCCCCCTCAAGGAAAATAATCACATCCCAAAGAAGCAAGACCATTTGACATCAGGAAATGAGAGTCTGTTCTAGCAACTGATGGATTTCTGCACTGGCAATCTCAAGTGTTTTGCAGAGTTCTTCTGGCCTTTTTGCATTACGCTCTTTTTCATTCTGGAGCCAGCCTTTGACTGCACCGATTGTTTGAAATTCCCCTCTCAGATCTCAGGCTGTCAGAGATGAGACATCAGTACCAGCAAAATTATACGAGTGGAGCTGCATGTCCTCTTCACACAGATCCTGTGTGAAAGAGCTGCTGGAAATGCTAGAGTCTAGGATTATTTGTTCTACATAGTACACTCACAGGGACAGCACAATAAAGAGGTGATAGGCAGTTGTGGATGTTGCTAATGCTGACTGGGCCAATACTGCTACCACCACTCCAGCATGAACATCAGTGCAGAGCTGTGGTCCTCTCCCAGACTGGCTATGCCTATCTGGGGCACAAGGTTGCCTAGGGAACCTGTGCAGAAAAAAACTACTTTGCAGATCTACTTAGGAACTGGAGGGGGAACAGTATCACATTTCCTACAGCTCACATGTGTAAATGTCCTCCTCCACCTCTGCAAAGGCATCTTTTATTTTTGATCAGGCCAATTTTGTGGAAAAAGAAGTGTAAAATATTCAGAGATTTTTCCAGAGGGACTTTACCACCCTCTCCATGGAAGGGGATGGTTGCCCTAAAGGAATTAGAATTCCTTCCTGCCGCCATGAACTACTATTCCCAGCTTTGGCACAGCTGAGGGATTATGTAATGCATTTGAAAGGATTCCCCTTTTAGAGAAGGACAAGACTGATCCCTTTGGAAAGGAATGGCTTAGTGGGCCAGGTGACTGTGGTCATAACCCAACGTGTAGTCAGAAAGCATGGGTGTAAACCTGAAGGCCAAAAAGAAACCTGCAAAGCAGTTGCTTTCTTGGTCAAGGCAGACACAAGAAAAAGTTTTAGTTTTCAAATAAAAGATTTTTTTCAAACCCCACCTGCTACCCACACACACAAAAAACCCTACCAGCTGTAAGTGCACTAGCATTGGAAGGATAGCCAGAATAATTTGCTTTGTGCTAAGCACCATACAAATATATAAACAAATAAATAAAATGAGAGCCCTGTTTCAAAAATCTATTGAAGAAACATCATTGGAACATATTAACATTTTACAATGCCTCCGGTTCAAGCAGGCAACCACAGGCATACACAAACATCTCAGGAAAAGGCAAGACAGATGGCAGGTCTTTTAACAGAATTATAGGAAAAAAAACAGGACGAAGCGATGCAGGGCATACTGGTTCTCTCAGGTGGCAAACCAAGAAACAGAGCAATGAAGTTTCTAAGCTAAAACCTGCAAAAGCAGGTGAAACTTTTGCTTAGTTCATTATATTGAAGATGAGCCATTAAATGGGCAATTAAAAAAATGAATTTACAATATCCTTTGCAGCCACTGTATGAAGTCAGTCAATTTTGTTTAAAAATAAATTATAATGGGAAAAGGAAGAACCCTGTACGTATTTGCAGCTTGTCATCCATGTGGACTCTACACAGTGCAAACTGTAGGTCAGCAAAACAAGAACAAGTTAAAATCTGCAATTACTGACCTTTAGATCTAAATGGAGTATATACTGCTGGTGTAGGTAATGGACTCCTTCACATATCTGTTTGGTAAAAAGTATTGCATCCAACTCAGTCAGATTGTAGTTTTCATCTGTGATTCGATCGAATAATTCACCTCCATCAAGACTAAAATGATGACAAAAAATGCAAAATCCATTCAAGTTCATTGTTGGTTTGATTAATTTTGAAGTCAAAACAATGTCCCTAATTCAGAAAGATATAACACACAATGCTAGGCACAACCGTAGTCCCACTGATTTAAGTGAGATTATTCATGTGCTTAAAATCAGGCATCAGTTTAAGTACCTTGCTGAACTGCAACCTTCCTGTTCATATTCGAAGAAAAATTAACAAACTATAAACCTAGTACTGGCAAATTTCATCCACTTATTCATTACTTATTTTACTAGACTGGAGGAAAAGAAAAGATTATAACCTATGCCAATTTTCTATAAGATTATGATGTTACTGTATATATAATATTAAATGGAAATTAATTCAAGATGCAACTGGAATGAGTTCAAAAAGACAACAGAATTAAATAAGTGGCAGATTTAAATATCCTCATTCTAAATGTCTTTCATATTTTTTATTTTCCTTTTCATTCATTAATATGTGTAGTTGGGTGTATTCCCTTGTAATCCCTATTTAGAGCATTTAACCAATTGCTTCTGAAGTGGCAATGCAATTCTTCTGCCACCACTTTTCCTTGAAGATCCCATTTTCTTTAAAACAAGAAACTGCTGACTATTTTCAGCCCGTCTATTTATTTATTTACTTATTTTATTTACTTGAGATGGGTTATAATTGCACCCATAAAAAGCACTGTCTTTAAAATGAAATCCAAATGTAGAGTCATCTTCAGCTATTATTCACAATACCGGGAGTGTGAAAATGTCATGAATTTATCCTAGATTACATTAACTGTCTAGCTCCAGTTTTTGTAGCATACTTGTCACCAAAATCTCTCTTGGTCAGGGTTTGCAATGCATCTGAGCATGTAAAAATGCAGCTAGCTGAATTATCCAAAGTGCCTAGATTGCAGACAATAGACAAGACACCTAGGAAAATCCCAGAAGATGCCTATCTGCACTTTTAAGCACTTACATAGTTGCAAAAGTCTTGCTCTCTCTCTCTTCCCCACCCTCCCTTCTCCAAACCCTTCTCCTGTCTCCATTCTTTCTACTCATCCAGTTCTATTCTCCTATTTGAGCCTCCACAATTTCACTGCTACTCTCTATTGTCACATTTTCAAAGCTGCTGTAAACACACCTCTCTCTTGTCTGGTTTCTGTTCCTTCTATCTCCACTATGACTTTTAACTTAACACCAATAATCCTTATGGATCCCAGTAGATACTGTTGTGTGGTGTCTATGAACCATATGCTCACTAATGAAAAAAAGCATACTGAAGTTCTGCTTTTTGTGACAGCCTATAAATCCTTCTATACTCTCCAGAATACAAAATGATATTCTTACCTTTTTAAGTTACAATTATATCATATAATCATTTTACCTTAAAGAGTTGGCTCCTAAAAATATACATTTTTCATTTAGAAAATGAAAGGAGCCTTTACTCAGGTCCAGAAACATTCATAATTTTTCCTATACCTTGATGCATTTTCCCATACCCACCAATGGCTTGAGAGCAGTCACAAAGTTCTGATGTTAGGTCCTAATATCATTTGAACTTACTATTCCACAATCAAGGTGAAGTTGTTTTTGGATTCAAAAGCATCATAAAGCTGGATCAGATTCACATGGTTTAACTGGTTCATGATGTTAATTTCATTTTTCACCTCCTCCTGAAACATTATGCACAGGAAAACAGCAAACAGTGAACCACAAGTAGCAAATACACTCAGCTAAGAATAAATACTCTTGCACACATTCACATAAGAGCATTCATATAAAACAGCCACTCCCCAGACTCCTCAAGCAAACAAGAACCTGATCTCACACATGCTGGTGAACACCAAATGTGAGATTACAAACATGAACAAATCGTATATAGCAAATTTAAGTAAATATTTGCTAAGACTGATTTTGCAGAATGTCATGCGGTACTACAAATTAAATAGACTCTAAAAAAGGACGTGCAGATTCTTGTAATAAGCGAGAAGTGCAGTGACTGCCCAGTTACACACACATCATTACCTTTTCCTTTTCTCCTTTCACTTTTATTATTTTGGCCGCTAGATTGAGATCGGTTGATATCTCTGTGCACTTGTGAACTTGACCAAAACGCCCCCTGTTGATGCAGAGCAACACATGGGAAATGGCTTAGTACAATTTGCTGTAGCAGCCTTTCAAACAACTATTCTTATCATTGATTAAAAATAGCATGGTACAAACTGAAAAGAATCAGGTGGTCAGTAGCATGAATCCCCTCTTTCTCTCAGCTTATGAAGGATTAGTTTTATCTTTCCAGCCAGTTGTTCAATGCTTACATTAAAATTAGGCCCCCTTTGTATTACTACGTTTCCCAATGACATGATGACCTGTTGATAGTCTTTTTTCATTCTGTAACTGTACACGCCTGCTGTCCTTCAGTGATACCTTAGTGATGCATATTAACAAAGATATTTCTGGTCTGATCTCATAACTTTTTAAATGACAAACACCAGTAACTCCAGGAAACACTATTCCATGTCTTGCACGATGTAAATTCTTTCCTATATCATCCATACATTTTAAGACCTTGGAGAATGATTTTTAAGCTGCATATTTTCTACATCACCATTCTGTCTGCACACATTGGTCATGTTTGCATTTAACTCAGCAGGGAAGTCACACATGATAAGTAAGTGCAGCAGAGTGCAAAGGCACCCCTGCAGGTGCAGTCTTCATGAGTGAGACCCAAATGAAAGGTAAAAATAATGGTAGCTTGAAGACTTAACCATTAATCCTCTTTATGATGTGCTTCAACAGTGTAACATGACTTTGGAAACAGAAGAGCACTGCTTCATATTCAGCCATTCAATAACTTTCATGTCAAATCTGATTGGTTTATTAGTAAATAGATACTTTCTCCCAACCCCCTGCTCTGCAAAATCAGAGTGGAATTGGACAGTCATAACACCCCCTCCACCCCCTTTTTCCCCTTATCAACAATAAAGCCTTTATAGTCAGATCCTGGTTAATAAATCTGTTGATGATTCACAAGCCACTATAGAATCCACCTCACACTCCCATAGTTTCCCAAATATGCAAATGTGGATAAGATGTAAGGGCCATGTGCTAATCAGGTCACAGCTTTATTTACTTAATTAAGGTGCGAATACCTGGAATGGCCTGAATCAGCATTCCTTCCTTCACTATATCTATCAGGTGGAGGACAGCTGTTAGCTTCACCCTACTCTTTGCAGCTGGTCCTCAGCCTATGGATGGGAAGCTGCTGGTTTCTCCTTTTAGGGTTTGAGTGACTGACTGAGCACCAGCACCATCCCCCAGCTCTGCTAGGGGATGTCTTTCCTTAAATCCACTCTATCGAGGCACAAGAAGGGACCAGCCTGGAGGAAAGGCTTTATTCTAATCTCCCCTGGTGCACAAAGGCCAGTGTCTTACATGAGCCTTACCCACCCTACCAATGCCTTCCCCAGCTTTCTGGCAGCCTCTCTCTGCCAGTCATCTCTAGGTCTTTTCCCACCATTCCACAGAAAGAACTTGCCTTCCCACTTCTGTGGTTGCGAAGTTGCATTCTGCAGAATTGACAGGAGCAGTTTACTTCTGTGTTTCAGTTATCACAGAGGTGCTGCTAGCTAAACCCTTCATAGCCCACCACTAGGCAGGGCAGACAGACTTACCCGCCTAATACTTCATGCTGACACACCGAGTAAATTGCTGTCACCTCTGCTTGTTTGACATTCACTATGCGATGCTCAAAAGGTGCAGGAGGAGGAGGGCTGTCATCTAAATGGGAGAGAGTTCATTCATTCCTTCCTATTTCCACAAAAAGCTGCACGTTATTTTATCATTTCCCAGGAACGTTTTCACTTCCCAGGATACAGCTTTACCACAGCATCCAGGCACAGCAAAATACAAAGGAGGCCTGAGCCACTGTAGTCATAGACATGTGCCTCTTTCACTTCACCCTAGAGCTCCCCCCTAGAGTTCTCCGGCCACCTTGAATATTGCTGTCCCTGAAAGTGCAACCCCCAAAAGCCATTGTTACCTCTGAGAACCGTCTTGCTGCAACAATATTGAGAGTGTGTTTTCTAGGGAAAAGGACAAAAACAGTTCTCCCCAACCTCATCTTTCAGTACAGCGGTGGGTAAACAGCATGCAAGTGCAATACCAGTGGGAAAGACAAACAGCTAAATAGTTTAGACCCAGCCAATTATTATGATTTTATAGCCACATTCAAAACAAAGTCAGGAAACTTTAACAAGCCTCTCAATATTCAACCATCTTTTCTCTTTCTTAGGTCCCAGGTCATCCTGAAAGCACTTATGCTTAATGTTATACCATGTGCCTAAAAAAAATCCCCTTTGTCTTAAGTAAAATAATGCCATCACTAGGACTGTTCAAGTGCTTTACTGGATCAGGAACTAGATTTAATTATAGTATTTTGCACTTCCTCTGTACCTTTTTTCCAAGGACCTATATTAAGTCTCAATGTCCTGTGGGAGAAGAAAAGTATTACTAGCCCCACTTTGCTGAGAAGAACTAAGGCAGAACCTTGGGAACAGGCTTCTCATTTCCTGGCTTCTACTCCCTCTTTACCCAATGTATTAAATTAACTATATTAAATTAAATAGTAAAAACCTCCTAATTGGGACAATCCCATCAGCTCAACAGCTTATTTATCCAGTAAGAGAAGCAGCCATGTAAGAAAAAAAAAAAGTGAAGTACTGTACTAAATACAAATACTGCAAAAACAATTAAATTCACATATTTACCACATTCAATCTTCTTGAATATTAATTTGGCTAGGAAAAGGCCAGGCTTAATATTTCACACCTATCTGACAAACTACAATTTTAGTTCATTTGGCATCAGCAGGGTGCCTCTCCAGGGTTTTTGCTAATATAATGTCCTGATTAAGCAGTAAGTATTGATGTTCCTCATCATCAAGCTAATTCCCTCCCTAGGGAGATGTCCCAATAAAGTACTGGATCCAACTAAGTATGACCCAATTAAAACAGACATCCTGAAGTTGTTCTAGGAGCAGAACTCCCAGTGACTCCCCAGTCCTTCGTGCAAAGCCAGTGCCAGACTGGACACCACAGAGCATTGTCTGTAATGCAGAACATTGTTTAACGTACAAATGCTACAATAAAATTCCACTTGCTCACAAACATTTACAAACCCCTCCCCCCACCCTTACAGTGGGGCCCAGAATTTGATTTGCAGGTCTCTGTGTAAGTGCCTGGACACAGGAATGACGGAGGAACCAAAGCATCATCAGAAAGACTTACAGCCAACGATGTAACAAAGAACAAAATATGCAAGCTTGCCTGTACCCACTACACCGTGTACCTGTGGTTGCTGCCATTCATCTGCTGTCTTGCCCACTTCTTATCTTATACAATATAAACTTTTATTCATATTAATAAAGTAACTCTTTTCATCTACATACATTCAACCTAATTCCTTTTTTAAAACACCATTATTCCAAAATGACCATTAGGCAGAATCAGAAATTCAAAAAGACATTTATTCTCACTGTGCGGCTGACAGGAAAATTAAACAAAAAGCAAATCTCTTGAATGCAAATACAGTTGTCTGTGCAGCCAAACGTACGAATGGTGGCTGAATACCTACTCTCAAACTGTAACAAGTCCAATGAGCACAGTCTCAGATGTTATCATGCATAACATGCGCAAGCAGCACAGAAATCTCAGTTCAAGAGTCTCCAAGTGTTATTGTGAGCTACTTACCAATAATCACTTCATCCTGCCTGGCCAATGCTTTGCTGGTTTCTGTTGATTTAGTGTTTTCTGTTGTTTTTCCTGTACATTGATTTGCATCACTCTCACTTCCTCTTAAAGATGCATTTTCTAAATCTAATTCTGCCCTCTCTGGCTTAGCATCCTTTGTGGAGCCTTGTGTTGTTTCATTATGGCTTTTTAATGTGGCTCCAGGATTTTTCTTAGTATCCTTTGGAGTTGTGCTCCGAGAGGTTACAGACTTGCATTTTAACTCTGATTTTCCATCAGTCTTTTTACCTGCTGTAGGCTTGTTCAATAGCATCTGTGGCTTCCCTAATTGGAGAGCCTGTTCACTCTGTTTATTATCAGGCTTCACCCCTTTTACTTCCTGAACTGGGTCAGGTCTGGTGTTTTTAGGGCACTGTTTATGTTTAAACTTGTCTGACATAAGTGTAACTCTTTCCACTTCTGAGGATGAGGAGAGAGGTTTGATTTTGGGATTTCTATGTTTATGATCTCCTTGGCTTCCATCCTTGGTTGTCACCGTCTTTTGTTGGGCTTCAGTCATCTGAACGTTGATGGAAACCCTACAGAGCAAACAATCTCCACTTTAGACAGACAAACAGCTTTCTTTACTAAGCTTAGCAGAAAATACATATATATTACATTTTAAACCCCAATGTCTAGAACAATTTCTCTACTAAAAGTATCAGATACTGAAACTACAAATGATAATAACGAAAGCCAGCTCCTTCCATTCTGCCACAGGAAATTTACAACACAGCGAAAACTGTCACCAAAAAAATAATAATAATACTTTTTAATATACTAGTTTTTGTATACATCTGCCCTCTGCTGGGCACAAAATATATCATTTCTATTCCAGTACTGCCAATGTCTGTATTAAGGGGTGCAACATAAATTACACTGAGGTCACTTGCAAGGCGTGCACACACTTTTCAGGAGAAGCCACTAGTAGTGAGATTCACTCTGCCAGGATGTAAGCAGTTAATTTGCAAGTGGAGAAACAGACTGCGTATGCACACAGATGCGCAGAATAAGGCATCATTGTAAAGTCAGGACATAGGACTCTCAGTTTTGCTTTTTAAAGCTATTTTATTCAATAAGGTTGTTTAAATAAAGAATAAGATGGATCACGGTGGTAGCCTGGAGTGGGAGAGGAGTACTTGTTGCCCCGTTGTGCACAGAGTTGGTAGATGGCAAATAGCTAGTGTATAGTATAATTGGTAACTACATACACAAGTGACCAGGTAGATATCCAATTGCCTGGGCCTTTCATGTACAGTTCCAAAAATCTAGTCCATCTGAAGCTAGCTGACAAGAGGCTTGCAAGTTGGGAATTGTGGCTTGTTATTGTGTATTATTCCTATCACAGTCTGGAAGCAAAGATATGAAGTTGTACAACTGAATTCTATAGGATTTTTCATTTAGTTATTTTCTTTGAGGCAAGGATTTTTTAGGGTGATATCTTTTATATATTCCATATTTGTGTCAGAGCTGGTTATACGACTACCAAACTCAGGGCCAAAACCTGCTGCTGTAAATTACATGAATACTCCACCTCATTTCATTGGGACTTGGGGGCACTCATGTGGGTTACAAACTTGGGCTCAAAATGTTACATAATTTTTTTTAAAGAATACATATACCTAATTTCCCCCAATTACTATAATTCTCAGTAGAACTAAATTTAAAATATTGCTTCTCTTATAAAAGATGCTGAAAAGAAATTTTTCTACATTTTGCATAACAAAAGCCTGCATTGTTATGCCTGACTCTTACTTCAGGCATCTCCGAGTTATTTACAGGATAATCCTTCTGTAATGTATTAGGAATCTGAAGTTCAGAAGCAGTGAGCTATGAAAGCAGCTTGGAGCAAATACTTCTCTTACTAGCTAGACAAGCCTGAACTTGAGAAGGAACCTTGGGCATTTCTCCAAACAGTAGAACACTGTTCTTTTTACATTTCTGCATCGGTCTTTTGAGTTCATTGATAGCTGCTTCCCTCTAACAGAATAGAATCTGGCCTACTCATTCTGACCTCACACTCTAAAAAAAAAAATCTTAATAGGTGCCTTATTTATGGAGAAATGAATGTCCAAAGGCAGTAAGGTTTATCATCTTCTCACATTCCTCTTACAAATAAAACCATGCTGTAAAACACTGTCTGATTTATAATGAAACTAATTGAAGCTGATCTGAATGCACTTTTTTTCCCCCACTTCCCAGCTCTTGTGTTCAGAGGGTTTCCACACATTCCCCCACTACATGCATTTAGCATTTGTGGAGTGCACTAGTAAGACAACTCTATAATTTTCTTCTACGCAGCCACAGAGCAAGAAATGGCAAGACAGCTTCTCCCACTTGACCCTGCTACAGCCTTGCACAAAGCTCCTCCTACAGGTAAAGGGAATGATAGTCTCCAGGTCTTTTCCTAAATTAGCCTCTCTTACAAAGGTGCCAGTCACTGCCCCTTGCACTAATGTTTTCTTCAAATGTGGATCCCTGTGTACAGACACCTAGACAGAGATGATGTCTCTTCAGTTTATTAATTTGGTTCTTCAGTGTCCAAACGCTTGTATTGCATTGAACTGGGACTCCTCCCTCTTGCAAACTGCAGTCCCAGTTGCAAGCAACAAGCCCGTTACATCTTTTAGACGGCAAGGCTGAAAATTAAACTACGACACAGACAAACAAAAATACCGAGGGCTCAGGAGGCAAGCAAAAAGCTATCATAAATTAAACTGATCAAAAACAGTCCAAACCCTGAACTCATGTCAAACACTAATGCAATTATATCTTCAGTCAACTGTTGGAAAAAAGAAATGTATAAAGTCAGTTAAATGAGTAAATCAGATTCTTATCTCCCTGACTCAAGTCACCTCTGTTACATTAATGTACTACATTATTAGTACTTTTTAAACATTAAACCTTGTTAGAATATGTGAGGGACCGAAGGTGACTAGATCTTCAGTTAGTTCCTTTTCTTATATGGCTAGCTTTCTACAGGGTCACAGCATACTAAGATCAAAGGGTTCTTTTAATTTGCCTTTTTTAACACCTGAAATGTTTCTGACCACATAGAAAAGTTACTGATTGGGCCCTTACCTTGTGCGTATCACTTCATATTCTATTCCAGATACAGACTTGGATGTGGATGGCATTGCTTCGAGAGAGGTAGAGCACATTGTAGAAGGTTTGCTTTCCTTTTCTTTTGATTTCTGATGTGCAAGCATTTTGTGATAGTCTTCCTGTCTGGGTGCTTTATCCATGCAGTTTGCTTTAATAGGAACATTCTGGGTCTCTGAAGCATCTTGGTTTATGAAGCCAAGACCATTATTTTGAACAAAAGCTGCGATACCAGCCTCTTTTTTTGGTGGACAGCTCTTTGAACTACTTGTTGGAGCAGCAGGTTCTACCATCAGTGGATGCGATATCCTTTGTTTACTTTGTGGACTGGAGTCAATTTTGGAGACTACAGTGCTAGAGTTCACCTTTTCACATGCTCTATTATTTTCATCCAACGTTTTCTCCCTTTTGGTGTCTATGTAAGAAAAGGTATCAATAACAAAAGAAAATACATGGAAAATATTACAGTATGACATGCATGATGGAAAAGTATGTACATAGCCAGGATGTGTCAGATTCCATCAAAAAACCTGCCATCCAAATAAAGCTTTTCTGAAAGGGCTAAAAAACATCCTCTTATGTGGATCTGAGCTCATAGGAAGAAAATGTCCAATATTTCCAACCCAGATATACACATGTTAATAAATTACTTAACAGATTCAGCCCTGTTAAAAGTAAAAAAAATCCCCACAAAAAGCCACACTATTTCTGAATAAAAATATTTGGTAAGAGTCAACACAAGGATGTTCAAGACTCTATGGGCTAAAGTAGTTCAAATGGAGTAGGAAAAGGGACTTTCTTGGTCATGGTAAACACCCATCTGAGTGTCCATACTTCAGAGAGTAGCAGTAATGTTGCAAAAGGAACAGGACTCCAAGAAAAGATGGGTCTCAGAACAGTAACCTTCTACCCATGGGCTTGTTAAGACACAACAGGTAGGTCATATTGTGGTTGTTCCCCTAATTACCTCTGCTTTTCAATACCTATGATGCTGCAAGAGGCATCTATAAGGGAAGTGAAAACCATTTGCTTCAGGACTTTAGGATTCTACTTGCATAGCGGACCTGTACAATCAATGTTATTTTCATTTATCCTTCAAATTAGTTTGCTACTCAGTCCAGAAATACTAGGAGGACTTTGAGTCAGAATTCTGAACCAAGACAGTAGGAAGGTTTTGGTCTCAACTGGAAGAAGATTTTGATGATTTGTGGTAAGGGCTCTGCATCTGCATCTTCTTTACAGTTATATACATCACTTCTGTAAATCCATTCGTGTCCACAGCAGATGCCTTAAGGAAACCTTCTGTCAGATGGATCCTAGGGTCCTAGAGAAAACCTTCTCTAACCCTAACCCAATCGTTCAGGACATCTGCCAGCCATTTGGAAGACTCCCAGTTCAGGAGTTCTAGAAGTCTGTTCATATATGCATTTTGTCTCTACCAATTTCCCTTACGGGTTTTCTGTGTGCTCTTGCTATTATATCATCAGCATGCCAAAACAGATGATGTCTACTTTGACTCAATTATATATAACTGCATAATTATAATTCCATTATTAATGAAGTATTGCCAGGGATTTTAGAATTAAATATCCAACTGTGTTTTAACCAACATGGGTCATTTTACTCAGCCGCAGCTAGCTAACTCAGAGGTACCTATAGGTATATAGATATTTTGGGTCATTCATTTCCAACTTTTAAGTATTAGAATAACCAAGTTCTAGAGAAAATGTGTTTGTTAAAATGTACATGTACACGTACCTTCCAAAGACTCTTTGCTGTCAGCCTCGGCTCCTCTATTTTTAGGTGCATGCTCCGGTTTTTCATCCTTCTCTTCATTTTTTTCTTTAGTCTAAAAAATACAATTGAACATAAAAGTAATTAAGGTTAAAGGTGTCTATTTCCCAATGTATCACATTTGTCAAAGAAGCGAGACCCTAAAAAAAATGGTAGTAAGACCTCAAATCTGCTGTACTTTCATTATATGCTGTCTTTTCCCCTCATTGAAATTCCTGCTTTAAAATAAACAAATAAATCTTCTACTTTTTTGAGCAAAATCACATCATTTCATAGTTCTAAAACAATTCTTACTTCCCAAGACTGACTGTAATGATATCTCCCCAATATACAGTTACATCATGTTTTTTTAATCTGAGACGGGAGGCCCTAGATGAAGAAAGGTAAAGTTGGTTCCATTTCTTTTTGACCAAAAAGATTTTTGTTTCACAACATCTAAAAGGGATATCCTATGCACTGAAGAATATTAGAGTTTTATGGACAACTGGATACTCCATTAGACAAACCACTTCAGCAGTTCCATTGCCTGATTTGGGGAATATTCCAATATCTGGATCTATTTTTTTTGGCTTGAGCATATCTCTTCTTTTAAGTGAAAAAGCACCAATTTCAGATGTGGGGTGTTTGTGGAATACCTTTTGCCAATACTGAATCCTTTCCCTAGCAACAGTCCAACTTGAACATAAACCTAAGTCTACTATTTGTCCTATCGCTTATAAAAAACTTCCCTTCTCTTCCCTCCCACTGAAAGAGAGGAACTTAAATGTCACAGCCACTTTGGAGTACAACACTGAGCCTGCCTGTAATGATGATCATGGAGAATGTCTGCAAAGGCCTTGAGTGGACCTGACAATCTAGTGCAGTTTCATAGATGTCAAAAGTCAGAAAACTTTGATCCTGTAAAGCTCTTAATTCGTGGTTTATTGTGTGAATTTGGAGCCAGCTTAGCAAACTCTCCCCCTTAAATAGTCCCAAGGACTTTACTACATCCTGTTACTAAGTCAGCAGGCAGCTTATAAAAGGAAAAAAACAAAAGTGGCCCACCATACTTAGAAACAGTCACCATTATGAGCATGGGTGCACTGATAGCAGCTGTGAAGCAGAAACAAGCAAGTAAAGATTATTTTCAAAACAGCAATGCAATGCAGTCTTCTTGACCTCAACTGGCTTACTTATTCTGAAGTCAAGAGGTGAGAACAATGAGGTACAGAATTACCTGAGCAGCTTTAAAGTAACTAGCTCAGGACCCATTTGAAATCTGGACACGGCAGCCCAAACTCACCACTTAGGTTCACAGCAGATAAATTAGTCTGCGCCAAGCTCCATGTTGTCATACTACTAGACTGTTTAAAGCTAGCTCTGGCATATCTACATTACACAGCAGTTGCTTCCATGACTGCAGGACAGATATACCCTTAACATCTTAGTCCAATGTTATGGACAGAAAACAAATGAAGGGACATTGATGGTAACTTCCCAAAACCAGAGCTCACCATAAAGCTGCCTGCCTGCCAAGAATATACTTCCATTTCTGTAATGGGCAAAAAAAAAAAAAAAAAATAGATGGGACTCAGAGACCTGCATTCTATGCCCACCTGGTCTGCTGGGGGACCTCAGACAAGTCACGTCACCTCTACGCCTCAGTGTTCCTAGTAACTATTCTGGTTTTCTTTACACAGCAGTTTTAAGACCTACTGATGAAGATTTACTTAAGAGCTAATTAAGGTCAACACTATAACTACAAGAGAGTACATGGTCACCCTACTTTATTCAGAGCCCTCCTAAAACACCCGTCTTCTGCTAAATGTTTCAGTGATAATCTGCCCAAGAAAAAAGTTTGTAAATTAGTTAACCATTTTGAAATTGACCCTTCCCTGGTCAAAGTCCTCTGTATTTGCCTGTCCAATTTGGCTTCTAAGATTCCTAGAGCCACTATCACATCTGTCCCTAGATGTTGCATGGTGCCAAGCACATTGTGGACACTTTCAAGAATGGTGGCTTTTACTAAGGCATGTCAATTTTTTTTAATACTTTTGTATGTTTCCAAGCAGATGTTGCACAATTCCACTAGAACGGATTGTAAATAATGGCAGCATCCCAAAAACAAGAAAATTGTGTGTGCAATGAGTTGTTAATCTCAACCTCAATGGAAATTAAATGACAAAAACCTCCCTCACAATCCAGCACATCTGTCAGTCTCCAAAATAACAGGATTTCTATAAAGACATGTACCAGCAGACGTGTGTCAGAAACCCTGCACAACATTCTCCTTCTCTGTGCTGTTGTAGAAGTTCACATGCCAGAGATTAAGTATTTTTTAATGTTATTTTGATTTGAGCACCTATGAACTATAAAGCAAGAAGCATTCACAGAGTACCTGGAGGCAAATCACATCTCTACCACTCCCATGCTCTGAGATCCTCTAAAATTAACTAGCATCCCATATATGCCTCTTTGTACGTTTCTGTTCCTCACATTGGGACACAAACAGTAATGAAGACTCAGTATGCATCATGACTGGATATTCATGATTGGAATAAATTTCATTCTCAACAATAAGGCTGCACAGGTGAAACTGAGAATTCAGTCTGTGATCCCCTGAGGTTGTATAGAAGTAAAGGCAGGTTTTGGCCCTTAATGGCCATCATTATCAGTCAGAAAATAGCATCCAATTCCATCAATAAATACTTTACAGCACACAAGGCAGGAAAGGTTCTTTGAGTAGATGTGATATCTTTTATTAGACCAACTGAGTAGTTGGGAAAAAGTTCTTAGCAAGCTTTTGGGCACAATCACCCTTCTTCAGGCATAGGGAGTCTCTGCTGTTCTGAGTACATTACAATGCACAAGCCATTAGTGTCCATTTAGGGCTGAACCTAACTTGCCTTCCATTGCCCAGGGGTAATAGAGGGCAGAATTTGGTCTTTCAAGTTGAGAGTTTCTTGGCATACAAATCTAGTTTTACACTTGTCTAAGTGCTTACCACACTTCTAACAATACAAACATAAGTACCCTACCTTCTTTCCAAACAAATATAAGGACTAAGTCTATGCTTCAAGAAGTTTCAACTAAAAGGAATTGTAACAACTTAATAAACAGTAGCATTGAGAAAGAAAAGCCTAAATATGCGTATGTGCATGCATTAAATAAGAATTTAAATCGGAATGTGTGGGACCCTGCCCCTTACAAGGGAACGATCAAGAACAATAAAATAAAACCCACCTCCACGAGGATTTCAATCAGACTCCCTTTCTTCCAGGGAACAATGCCTTTCAGAATGAAATCCACTACTTTAGAATTTTTCAATGTCTCTCCCATGAGCGCAATAACTTTATCCACTGCGTCAACCTTGTTTTCTATCTTTTCCAGCCTCTCTCTATGCTTTGAGGCATCTTGCTGCATAGCTTTCAATAGCATCAACATTTCTGAGCACACACTTCGGATATCAGTCTGATGAACACTATCCTCCGATTTTAGGCCTCTTTTTGCTGTCCCTGTCTTATCAGCAGGTGCTTGAGGTGCTATTAGCTTGTTAATGCCTTTTTCGATGTCGTCCATGCTTCGGTTAACCTTTTGTAACTCACCTTTCACATCTTCTTGGAAATTCAATAACTTGTCTACTTTTTCAGTCAAAAGATTCAATTTTTTGTCCATCAGGCTTAAATTATTCCCTCTTGCAGACTGCAACCTAGTCATGACTTTTCCAAATCCCTCCGTATGCTCCAAGTTACTCTCAGACATCATGCCCAGACAAGAAGTTAATACCAGTGAAATGTAGTTGCCTCCGTATCAAAGGTACATACTAAAAGATTATTCACTGAAAGTTCATCTTCCCTAGTCACTCCCTTACCAAAGAGCCAAGGATGAATTATTTTGGTTATTAGAGATGCTAGGAGCAAGTCACTGGTCAGCCATGATGTGAAAAGACTTAATTTTTTGTGTTATCTATTTCTTACTGCATGCTTTCAGTGACGGAGTTAACTTGGCGCTAGACTAGTTTCTCTTGGACCTCCTTGACGTCACACAAACCATTTAAAATTCCTTCTTGAGAGGCTGTTGATAGGCAAGCATCTTAACAATTAACAAGGCCCATAGCGGATCTCTATAGGGCAAAACAATGCTTGCATGCCTCCCTTAGCTTTCTGCTATTGAAATATACTCTTTCAAAACATTTCTCCTTGCCCCAAAAGAGAAGTATAAAAGTGAATTTGTCTGCTGCATGCTAAGGCTTGGAAGAGTTCTGCTTTGTATCATACATGTGTAACACCTAGCACAGACACATGCCATCTTTAGGTTGGCTGGCACTTGAATTTAAAAATAGAGCGCAATGACTGGTTTGAAATACATTATCTGGCACCAGCACGTCTTTGTCAATTGAAACGTCTAAAATTAAATTCTTTCTCCAGGGCCATGAAAGTGCACAGTGTAAAAAATCTACAGTGAGGTATGCCAATCTAAGTGAGTATGCCAAAACAGCTTCCACAATTAGCAGCAAATAATTGGCCTAAAGTCCTTTATAGTTATGCTTTTACTTCTGAAGTACATTTGTGTTAAACTTCAAAAACAATCTTTCACTGGAGAGAAGAGAAACTCAGTTTTTAAAATGATGCATCTGAACTGTCCCAAGTACCTCACAAACAGCAATTAATTTACCTTCAGATCAGCCCTTGAAGAAACAGAACTACAATTATTCCTGTTTTGCAGATGAGGAACTGAAGCACTGTTAGGTTAGACAGATTTGGCCACAAAAGTAGTGTGTGGCAAAACCAGGAACTGAATCCACGTCTCCTAAATTCCAGAAAGGATAAGGGTGCAAACAGGTCATTAAACACCCTGGTACAATGTGCACTGATTTTGTACAGGATCAGGATTTGTACAGGATTTTGTACATTGAATATCAGGATAAGGAACTGAAAGATGTGCTCTGACCCCAAAATAATTCAACAGTTGGCAGCTTGGGGGAACAATAGCTACCACAGGATACATGCAGACAGATGAAACTTAAAACGGTGTAAGGTTTATGTCAACTGCTGAGCAAATCATTGCTCTTGGGCATGTGTGTTTTTCACTGTGATCTGGGATCATATTCAATAAGCTTCTTGTAGTATAAATTTAGTGCATCATAGAGATTGCCCCCACACGTTAGCTTCTTACAGTTTGACAATGTTCAGGCTCCACTATAAATTATTTTCTGCTAAGTATCTCCTGTCTGAGCTGCACAGAGATTTTCACTGGAGAATACATCCAAACATCATGCGATAAGCTGGCTAGTGTTGTCAAAGCCCCACTTGCAAAAAGGCACCTAAAATAGAGGTAATACTTGGACTAAAAGGGTGCGTGTACACATGACAGGGGTTTAGTCCCCTAAATTGAAACAGTCGGTTTTTAATTCTGATGCTTAAAACCCCACCATTTCAATTTAGCGACTTCCGTTACTCTCACCGCGAAGGATCTCCTCCCTCCCCCGCATGGAGCCTGCTTGCCTCTCCTGTGGCTGGCGGGCAAGCTGCTGGTGGGCCAAGCAGCCCCTGAGCTGTGCAAGGCCCCAGTCCTTCCCTCTGTGGCAGCAGCACCCTGCCCAGGCAGGCTGCTAGCTGAGCAGGTGCTGCCACAGCTCAGGCTCAGGGAACAATTGGATCAGGCTGGGTGCTGCCTCTGAGCTGGGGCAGCACCTGCCCACTAGCAGCGCACCTGGGTGACCCCAGGGGGTGCCACCACCACCAAACGGAAGGACCGGCGCCCCCGCACAGCACAAGGCCCGCTGGCAGCTCGCCCCTCTGGCCACAGGCAAGTGCTGCAAAAAAACAAAACAAAAAGGATCGGGCTCCTTACCGCTCTTTTTTTCCCCACCAGTGGAGCCTGCCCGATTGAGCTGCCAGCAGGCCAAGCAACCCCTGAGCTGCAGGGGGCCCCAGTCCTTCCCTCCCTAGCGGTGGTGTGCCCTGGGGCCACCCAGGTGGGCTGCTAGTGGATGGGTGCTGCCCCAGCTTGGAAGCAGCACCCACCAGATCTAACTCATCCCTGAGCCCGCCCGAAGAGCAGGAGCCCCATGCACCGTCCCCACTGCCTTTCTGCCACCTGGGATCACCTGGGAATGGGCTAGCTTGCCCCTGGGGCAGCACAGGAAGGCGGCAAGAGGATGGCTGGGTGTGCTGGCATCTGTAGAAGGTGGCAGGGATGGTGCACGGGGTGCTGGAAGCCCCCGTGGGCTCAGGGAAGCATTGGATCGGGTACCTCCAAGCTGGGGCAGTACCCACCCACTAGCAACCTGCCCAGGCGGCTGCAGAGCATGCCAGCAGAAGAACCAGGGGCTGCTCGGCCCTCCAGTAGCTCGCCCCCTGACCATGGGAGAGGTGGGCAGGCTCCGTAAGGGGAAAAAAAAAAAAAAAAAGGATTGGGATCCTCGCCACTTTTGCCTTCAGCCCACCTCTTCTGCCTCCAGGAGGCGAGCTGTCAAATTAAAAAGGCTGCAATGTTACAAGTAGCTACATTGAAAACTAAACTACATGGGAATGTGGATTAGTTTGCAACATAACAAATTTATTGAAATAGCCAAAAAAAAAAACATACACGTAAAGCATGACAATATTAAACCACAAAACTGGGCAATTTTCATCACGTGTACAAGCGCCCAAAGACTACAAAGCAAGTCAGATTCTAATCAATGCGCTGCTGGGGTCAGTACTTTTCAGACTAATCAACTCTAGTTTTGGAGCCACCTGCTTTCCATTCAAGGTCAAACTTAAAATACATTTGAGGTTTGAGATGTTTATCAGGTGATAATTTCTTCTCCAAGCAAGGGAGGGTCAGTTTCCAGTCATACTACAAATGGAAGGTTAAAAAGATACAGAATAATGGACCTTAAAGTGTTCATTATAGAATTGTACCTAACAAGTAATTCAATAACGTTGCAAGTAAATAGTTTTAGGAACGCAACATAATGATTAATGAACAGAGTGGGTACGTTTACAGATCTAGGGAAAAAAGTTATATACCCTCACTAGGCACATCTTCCCTGCAAGTAGATAAAAACTTACAGAAGGGAGAAAGCTTTTTTTCTTGTCCTAAGGATTTCTGCCCTTCTTCCCTTAACAGAGGTAACCTTAAGCTGTTGCTAGCAAGATTTAGCTTCAGTCTAAAGTAAACATGTTCTGTGATTTAAAAGTCTTGCAGGTTCCAAAATGCTTATTCAATAACTAAAACAATCAGGAACTATTGGCATATGTATAATGCTACTCCAATAATCTAATTATATAATAAAACTCAGTAGAACACACAGTTCCAGATTTAATTTAACATATGTGAGATTTACATATAAAAGTATCTCACTGAGTTCAGATACTCTTCCATAATATTAATTAAATATATTCAGGAAGCATCAGACTCCTCAAGAAAAAAAATACATTTCAGAAAAGTTGTCAGGCATTCAGACAGAAAAACAGACATGTCATTCCTCACAACAGCAGCCTTTTAAACTCAGTATTTCCTGTCTTCCTTCAGAAGGAAAAGGCAATTAGGTGAATACCTTTGATTAGGCCCATTTAAACCAGGCAATTTACAACAAATATTTCTAGATAGAGGTGTACGTACATACATAGTCTAGCAAGATAGAGGCCTAGCACATGGTCATTGGTTACTGTGTGCCCAAGGCTGAATGTAAGGTAATGTAATCATACAGAAAAGCAGGTCTGGAAGGAACCTCCAGGTTTCATCTAGTCTAACATATAGACACATATGTGCACAAGACAAATCTAGCTACCAAAACTGCATTATCACAGTAACTGTAGTGCAATTGTAATAAAACAAAAATGTGACAGTACAATTGCGCGCGCACGCATGCGTGCGTAAAACATGACCCTAATACTTGGATGCAGGCTTAAAAAATGAAACGCCTTTACATGTTTATGTCAAAATAAGTACCAAAGATAGTAATGTCCTTACATCAGTTATGGATTATTTTATGTTATGTAATTATGGTCATGGACAAAGCTGTGTTGTGCTACCTACTCTCCAAACATAAATGGAAACGAGCACCAAAGACCTTACACCAGAAAAAATGTGATTGAGTATAGCACAGCAGCACTGTTTTCAAATTCAAATTATGGTCAGTAATACTTGTCAAAGAGCTTGGTAAATATGGGACCACACCAGAGCTCCATGAGCCTTTGAGAAGAGGCAGCTGCCCTAGGGCTCTAACAATAACTGAAGTCTGTGGGGTCTATCCCGGCTCCTGTTCTAAGGGCACTATCAGTAGCACAATGCTATCACTCTTGCAGGCTAGCCAAGAGAGGCATTGCCCATTACATTCAGCATGAAAGAGATTCCACAACTACAGAATATAGGCAGACTAGGATCAGCTAGTAAGCTAGGGGAACTCCTGGGGCTACTTTCATTCATAATGGACATGAAGGGACATTGGACACCAGCACAGAGAAGCCTGCAGCTCAAAGGTGGCATGATGCAACTTTTGCCCTCCCCTCTCCACATTATGCCTGCTGACCTGTACACTCTGTGTGGAAAGGCAAAGAATCTGTCCCAGTATACTTACATAGCGCCTAGTGATGTCAGCTGTGCAAGAAAGTACCAGTATAGTCCTGCTTCATGTAACACAAACAGCTGGTGCTGTCTGACACACAGAAGAGCAAGACATGTTCGCAGCCTCTTCTACCCAGATAGGCCTGCTCAACCAACAGCAGTGCTACTTAACTCCCATCTCCTGTGCATCTACATACAGCCACCTTATAATCATGTACTGCACAGATGTGCAGAAGGGCGTGGGAGAAAAGACATAATTTGGCCCAGAGAGATGTTTTAAATGGCCATCACTACAGAGCTGTTAAGGTGAGCTGGGTCAAGGTACGTGCTACATAGGGACAGTATATCCAAAAGGTAAAGTACATCTGGTTCTGGGTAGGACTGTCCCCACTTCCTTTTTAAG